TCTGTAATGCTACTCCTGGCAACACTGGATCATGCGAAGAAGCCTTATGCATAGTCAGACCATTTTCTCCATCTAGCTCAATATGGCCTACTGGACTGGAAGCTGCACTTAGGGGCCTCAGGCACAGAAGCCCCCTCCCCCCATCTGCTATCAGAGATGAACTGGATTAACTGGAGATGGAAAGGGACCAAACACAGCACCTTCTCAAGAGCCAGTTTGGTGTAGTAGTTAAGTGTGCAGACTCTAATCTTGGAGAACCAGGATTCCCCACTCCTCCACTTGCAGCTGCTGGATGACCATGGGCAAGTCAAAGTTCTGTCAGAGCTGTTCTCTCAAGGACAATTCTGGAAACAGCTCTCTCAGCTCCACCTACCTCACAGTCTTCTGCTCTTTAGGACCTGAGAAGAAGCAGACAATAAAGGCTTCTGGCACTATATCAACCATGGTTACGTACAAAACCTCAAACTTTAATAGTGGTGCTGGACTGGCTAAATAGACAAACCTGTGCTTAAAGTAATTAAATGGGAGTATCAACTAAGCCTGCCCATAATTCACTTTAATAAAGCAAGCTAGCCACTAACCTCTAGATGAAATTTTCAGGCTCAAAGACAGTGGGAATAGTTTTAGTTCATTCAATATGATGGGCCTGTTCTGTCCCCTTCTTGGGATTCTGAACACAACAGATTGAGATTCAACTGGTAAAAGATAATTACAGGTTACTGGAAATTTTTAGTTCCTTTCATCATAAGCCAGATGAACACCATGTAACTGCGACTGTGGGAACGTTTGCTACTTGTAGTGATGAGGACACCAGAATGTTTAGGATTGGTTCTGTTGGCAAAACCATGCAACAGCTTTGGACATGTGCAGGGCTGCTACTGAATTTGCACTTGGGAGGTTCTCATGGGAAGCTTCTATGAACCTGTCCAGAAACAGTTTGCACACACAGCCTTAGCAAGTGCAGCAAATTACAGAAGCCTCGTATACAGTCCCATCAAGGCACCAGTTCATTAACGGCACTCCCAGCCATGGTCATATGTTCCTAAGCACTCACATGGGAGAGGGTCACTAGCTAACATGACCCAATCCCAAACTATAATTTAAAGGTATAACCACTGAGGAAGAAATATCTGCAGAGTTCTCTCTCATACAGCAGTATCACCAGTCCTATTAAATAATATAAATACTTCACTGGTTAGTAACTGGCCCCTAGAAAGGATCGTTCCATGGAAGGAGGTAGGCTTGCCTCCTCCCCCACTTAAGCTGAGCGACTATAGGTTGTGGACAGAACAATGGCTAGTGAAGGACGGGTGTTTTCATGTGTCACTTTCTCAAAGTTTCTCTCTGGCAAAGTTAACTGGTAAGAGAACAAGCCGTGTTGTCGGGGGTTCCTAGTTCAAACGTCACCTCTGCCAAGAATTTACAAAGAATTTACATGCCTCTCCCCCCATCACTCCCCATCTGTACCATGGGAATAATAATTCTCGCATATTTTGTAGGGCTGAGGGAAGAATAATTAAGGTATGTGAAAGGCTTTGAACACTGAAAGCACTATATAAATGCTAAATGTTACAATTATTGCCCAGTTTAGCCAGCTCTCTTCAGATTTCAGAAACTAAGCATGGTTGGCCCTAGGGTTGCCAAGTTGAAAAATCTCCTTACCGGGGGACTCCTGGTCTGCGACTGGAGCGCGCGCACGTCACCAGGACGTGATGTTATGACGCTGGGCACGCTGGGGGCGGGGCCACGACCATCCAAGGGAAAACCATAGAGTTTTCCCTCGGATGACCATGGCCCCGCCCACAGCGTGCCCGGCGTCATAACGTCACTTCCTGGTGACATGCACGCTGGGGTGGGGTTCCCCCGGGGCCCGATCCGCTGGCGGCGGGGAACGGGCCTCTGGGGCGGGGGGTTCCCCATCCCCCAGGGGGACTTGGCAAGCCTAGTTGGCCCTGGTTAGTACTTGGATAGGAGACCACCAAGGAAGTCCAGGGTCACTATGCAGAGGCAGGAAATGACAAACTACCTCTGTTTACCTCTTGTTTTGAAAATCCTATGGGACTGAATTAAGTACACTATGGCTTGACAGCACTTTACATACACACCATGAGGGCTGCAAACTTATTTTGAGTGATATGCAAACTACAAGGAGGACAACAGAATTTCTTAAATGTAGTGTAAAACCACCAGTGCAATTTTCTGTTGACTGCCAGTCCCTATATCCTGTACTATATGCAGCCTTCCTTCCCTAGTCAGGGAGCTTTACCTTGACAAGGCAGGGCTTCTTATGTAGGTGTTTGGTTCAGAGCAGTAATGCACCTTGCTTCCCTATCTTCCAATTCACTCCATGAGCAAGAGAACATGATATCTCACACCTATACACTGACCAGAGTGCACAGATGGTGTTTCTTGCACTTCTTGTTTGCAACTCTTCTATGTACCCAAAGGAATCTGCACCTCTGTACAGCAGTGTGGTGAATCTGATATGATTGTGTGATACAGTGCATAGCTGTGCATTTCTTGCCATTCTTTGCAAGTGGATTTTGTCATTTCACACAGTAAAATCCAGTTGCAAAGTGCATTGAAAGTGCATTATTCAGCATGTGTGAAAGCGCCATGTAACAAGAGCTATGATCCAGTGGTTTCTCTCAGATGTTGTAAATCCTGCTCATGAATAAAGGTCCTCTGTGCCAGCAAAAACTGGCACCTGCAGCAGTGTGAATACATCAGTATTCCCTTCAAAGTAATCTGGCTGTAATTATGACCATTATGGGAAACTTTAAAAAACTAAAGATTGGCCGGGGGGGGGCGTTATTTATTAATTAAAACATTTACACCCTGTCTTTGCTTGTGGTTCAATATAAGAAAACATTTATTGTAGATGAAAATTTTGCCATTAAAAAATAATGAAGGGGTGGATGATGGTTGCAAGTGATAATATGGTAACATAAAATAACTGCTGTTAAGAGTCCCAAGAGCAACAACTATGTGCCATGATGTAGTATCATTACATGATCACACCAATAGCACCGTCTAATACCAACAAAACAATATTTGTATATATGGATTTGCAGTCCAAGGGCATCCGTCCACAGATCTGAACATGTTTGTCTGAACTGTTCAATAACACTCAGTTATAGACTTACATTGTGCTGGCCATGTAAACACACTGGCGTTTTACCAGCATGAACACACATGAACACATGAAGCTGCCTTATACTGAATCAGACTCTTGGTCCATCAAAGTCAGTATTGTCTACTTAGACTGGCAGAGGATCTCCAAGGTCTCAGGCAGAGGTCTTTCACATCACCCACTGCCAGATCCTTTAACTGGAGATGCCAGGGATTGAACCTGGGACCTTCTGCATGCCAAGCAGATATTCTTCCACTAAGCAATGGCTCTTCTCCCCTAAGGAAGAACATCATAGTTGTACTTGAACCTCATTCTCCTGTCAGACGGCTCTATAGACAGACATGTGCTTGGATACAAAGGCCAAGCCTCTCCCCCTCACATGAACACTTGTAGCTGCCTTATACTGAATTAGACCCCGAGTCCATCAAAGTCTACTCAGACCACCAGTCCATCAAAGTCTACTCAGAGCAGCAGCAGGTCTCAGGCTGAGGTCTTCCACACCACCTCCTACCTGATCCTTTTAACTGGAAATGCCAGGGATTGATCCTGGGACCTTCTGCATGCCAAGCAGATGCTCTGTCAGTGAGCCATAGCCCCTCCCCCTCATGAAATCTTTGCAATGTTAAAAAAGGTATAAAATTATTTATCACAAAGGTGAAAGAATGATTGTCCCCTGTGATCTTGCCAGATCAAAAGGAGTGATATTGATAGCAGCAGGGGTCATTTCCTGCAGGAGCGCACAGGAGCGGAGCTCCGGCAGTAAGGAGCGCGAACATGCAACAAGCCCCACCCCCTGCTCCCAGCAGCCCTCAGTCGCGCCATGAGGAGTAACAGGCAGCCAGGTAAGTTGCAGAGGGACCCTTCACCTTCAGGTACAAGCTCTCCCTCCTCTGTGAGGGCAGATCTGTGCTCCCCCCCCCAACAGGAGGGCAAGTCTGTGCGTCCCCCCCCCCATAGCTAGCAATCCAAAACAGTCCAGTGGCACCTTTAAGACCACGTTTTATTCAGGTACAAGCTCTCCCTCCTCTGCGAGGACAGATCTGCACATCCCCCCCCCCAATAGCTAGCAATCCAAAACAGTACAGTGGAACCTGAGTGGTAGGTGTTGCCTTCTGACACACTCCTGGTGATGTCAGGGGGCGTGGCATATGCAAATAAGCTGTGCTAATGTTATGCTAATGAGCTCCTGCACCTCTTTTTCTATGAAATGACCCCTGGATAGCAGAAGCAGGTTTGATAGACTCCGGGTTTACCACCATAGTCAGGTAATCTGATGAAAATGCTTCCAACTTGCATGTAGCTGGAAATGGGTACCACTGAGGAAATTCAGTTTACATTACCATCTGCAGTCTTAAGAATATTTTCCTGGGAGTAAGCCTCATTAAATCAAATGGGATTTACTTCTGAGCAGACCTATTTAGGATTGCCCCCCCCCCAAAAAACCTAGTACTCCTGCTTCCTGTGTTTATGCAATGCATGAACATTCTTCATATTGCAAACAAAAGGGCAGCTTAAGTCTATTGTTTTTTTTAAATTCTGTTTAGCTTATACTCCAGAGCTACAAATCAGTTCCCCTCAGAAAAAACTTTAAATAAAAACAAGACCAGAAGAGTGCTTTAGAAGGGGGAAAACAAATGTTTACAAACCTCGAGGGCAAGGGCAGCCAGCCACTGAAACACAAATCCTTGTTAAGCATCAGTTATGACGTCCCTTCAACAAAGGCAAGGGAGAGTGTGCAAATAAGGCTCAGCAGTGGCCACAAGGTGGCTGTCGTGTACAAGAGATGAGGCATGCAAGCAGGAGTAGGCCATTAATTACTTCATTAAAGCAACAGCACTATCACCTTCCAAAAAAGCAATATACTCACTGTTGGAGGAAGTCTTGCAAGCCCTGCCGACGATGGTCAACGTGCTGGGGGTTATTTATGCTAAAAAATGGAGTTTTGGATGGCAGTTCTGGCAATTGTCTTTAAAAAACAAACAAACCAAAAACAGTTAATGCCCCAAACTGAATTACTGTTTACAATGAAGCCTCTGTTCACACAACCCTTTCTGGACACAGAGAGGTTGCTGCATGCAGTTCCTGGGCCTGGATTTCTGCAACTAGACACTTGCCTCTGTTATGTGCAGTTCCTAGAACTGGGCTGGCTTTGTGTGCCCAATACTAAGCAGACAATTGGCAATGGATCCAGTCTGCCTCCATGCTCTCAAAGACTGGCCGATTATGTCATTTCCAACTCTCTCCAACTCTCCTTTTCCCTTCTGTTTCAAGGGCAGATAAGTAAGCCATTTCACAGAGTGGTTAGCAGTGTTGTATGCACTACATAAATAAGATATGACAATATTAATAGTTCAAGAGGCTTAGGAAAGATACTACAGCAGGGGTCAGAATATGTCTCTGCCTTCTCCTTTCCCACACCCTGCAAACCTCTCACACTGATAGTTGCTGAGAAGCAAACGTTTTTCAGCCCCAGATAGATCAACTATAAACTCATTGCCAACACAGTAAATCCATGGATACCCTTTGCTGCTAGGACAGCTATAGCTGTACCGTTTAACTCTTGTTTACTTAATCTTCTGTGAACTGCCTTAAGCATGTTTTTCACTGAAAGGTGGCTTTAAAAAATCGGACTAAATTAATAAAGCCAGATATTTCACACCCTGTAATGCTAGATAAAGGCTAAATACTGGAACCCAACCCAAAAGAATTTTACTCACTCCAGGCATTTGTGATACAGAAAAGGAGAAATCAATGTATGAAGTAGGGATGGGCATGAACCAGGGAAATAATGAACCATGAACCTAACCACGAGCTAGGAGGCTTGTTTATGAACTAGATCAGTTTGTGGCTGTGCAAACCCCATTGAAAGGGGCCAAAGTCCCTTTAAACAGGGTTTGTAGAAAGCCTGAAAAACAACTGAGCGGTTGGGAGCTGCTTGTTCCCCACCGCTCAGCTATTTCAGGCTGTCTTGTGCAGTCCCCTTAAACTTTAAAAGGCTGGCAGAAGACAGCCCAAAGCAGCAGGGAGCAGAAAGGGGGAGGAGATCCCCCAGGAAGGGACTTCCCTCTGGTCTTTCAGCTGGCTGCTGCAGCTAATAGAAAGGGGAGGGAAGACTCCCCCAGAAGGGATTTTCCTCCCACTTTTCTGTTGGCCGCTGCAAGCTGTGGCCAGCAGAAAGGGGGGGGATATCTCTCAAGAAGGGTCTTCTCTCCCACCTTTCTGCTGGCTGCCACAATCCACAGCCAGCAGAAAGAAGGTGGAGATCTCCTGGGAAGGGACTTCCCTCCAATCTTTCTGCTGGCTGCTACCACTACAAGCTGCAGCCAGCAGAAAGGGGTGTGTGTGTGGAGATCTCCCGGGAAGGGACTTCCCTCCCACCTTGCTGTTGGCTGCCGCAAGCTGTGGCCAACAGAAAGGGAGGGGAGATCTCTCAAGAACGGCCCTGCTTTCTGCTCCCTGTGAAAAGCCACAGGAAACTAAAAGCAGGGTTTCAATGGAGCCATTTAAACTCTGCTTTTTGCTCCTCACAGAAAGGAGCTGCGGTGGCTCAAGTGGTTAAGATGCTGCACTGCAGGCTGTGGAAGGTCGGTAGTCCAGCAGTTCGAGACCCGAGTGTGCCGCATGATGGAGTGAGCTCCCGTCTCTAGTTCCAGCTCCTGCCAACCTAGCAGTTCGAAAGCAAGAAATTGCAAGTAGATAAATAGGGACCACTTCGGTGGGAAGGTAACAGCGTTCCGTGCGCCTTGGTGTTTAGTCATGCTGGCCACATGACCACAGAAATGTCTTCGGACAGCGCTGGCTCTTCAGCTTTGAAACGGAGATGAGCACCGCAACCCTAGAGTCGGATTCAACTGACCTTTGAGCAAGGGAACCTTTACCTTTACCTTTTTTCCTGCTCCTCTCAGCTTTTTGCAGGGAGCAGAAAGCAGGACCATTTAAACCCCTGCTTTCTGCTCCTGGCGGAAAGCTGCAGAGAACAGAAAGCAGTGGTGGTTTAAATGGCTCCAAACCATTTAAACTCTGCTTTCTGCTCCAACAAAAAGCCATGGGAAGGTGAAATCAGGGCTTAAATGAGACTGAGCCAGCAGTGGGGACCTCCCAGCCACTCAGCTGTTTCTCGTGAAGAGCAGAATGGAAGGGTAAACCTCTGCTTTCTGCTTTTCATGAACTGTCACGAGTGGGCCCATAGCCACAGTGGGGCATCTTGTGGACATGCCCCCGACCTACTATGAATGCCCCGACTTACCATCCAGTTTTCATTCAAGAATAACTTATTTTCTTATTTTTTGCACCATGCCAGCACCCTGTCCCTGCCTGCCCTGCCTGCTGGTGCCCTGCCCTGCATCCCATGACCTCACCAGTCCCGCCCTCCATTCCCACACCAGTCTGATCTGGCCAGGGTGAGAGCAGAGTGCTGTGCATTTGCCTTGGCTTCGCTGGTCACTATCTCTCTCGAGTGCTGCACTGGAGGCCACAGGGGAGGCTACTGGGAAGGCACGCCTGACTATCTCGCTTGCTCGCTACTGTGCTTTGACTGCCAGGCCTGAGGAAGCCAAAAAAACAATGGTACAGAGATGGATAAACAGTGCAGCACCTTTTCAACCCTCTAATCCCATGCCAGTCCAATCCATTCACACTTGGGGGGAGTGACGGGGCTGCTGCATGCACCAGACTGCTGCACCCAAGACCCCACCAAAGCTGTGACTGCCATGTGCGCTGCCTCCTCCTCCTCCTGGCCCACTGGCTGAGGTGGGCAAAGAAGGAGGAAGAACCCAGCCCTGCCGTGTTGATGGAGAAGAGCGCACACTCCGGCAAGTGAGTATTTTTTGTATTTTATTTTTATTTTTTATTTTGTCACACTCCCCAGTTCCCCCCGACTGGAAAACTCCTGGCTGCGGCCTTGGTCATGATCTACCAAGAATTGTGCCAAAATTCATGGTAGTTCATGAACTTCAGTTTGTGAAACCTAAAACTCATTAGCCAGTGCTCAGCAGAACCAGTGCCAAAACCCAACAGGATTAAGGTCAAACCTGAGAATCTCTGAAGTAGAAACTGGGGGGAGGGACATTTCTGCAAGGACAGCAGAACCCAGTGCCAACTTACTAGTGCCCAGCAGCAGAACCAGTGCCACTGTGGCAAGTACCAGCTCAACACGTCAAACACAGAATCACAATCCGAGCGAGGGGGTCGAGGGTTTCAAGGACATCAAAACCAGTGCAATACTGCCCAGCAGCACAACCCAGTGCCAACCTACTAGTGTCCACGAAAGCTTATACCTTGAATAAAACTCTGTTGGTGTTAAAGGTGCCACTGGACTCAAAGTTTGTCTGCTGCTTCAAATCAATACAGCTACCTGTCTTTCTGGGGGAAGGCTGGGATTTTTTTTAAAAAAGTCCTAAATACTTAGATCAATTTAAAAAAGAAACAACAAACGAAAAACTTATGAAAATGTTTACAAGTTACTCACATCAGCACAGCATTACTTTGGAGTCTTTGACGAAGCCACACAAATTCTCTAAAACGCCGCCGGACACAAGAGGTCTTTCTTGTAAAACACATGCTATTTGTCTGTAAAGAAAACAGACTGTGCTTTATTTGTAAGTTAATTTCTCTAGGAGATACACCACTTAACCAGTATTAAGTATTTGATTCATATGCTATGGAGTTCAACGAACAAAATTGGAAGCAGCCTCCGGCTCACATGATCCTCCCTGCACAGTATCAGTTAATTCCTGGCTCTCAGCAAACCATAATTGGTTGTAACATCCAAACCAAATGGTTTAGGCTTGCTCTGAAAACCAGAAGAAATTGTAGTTTACAATGCAGGACCTGCAAGCCGTATGTTGACAAACTGAATATCATGGCAAGACAGGCTCCCCAGGCACCCCAAGTGTGTGCTCTATGCGGCACCTAGCTCCAGAATACACCCCCCAGACAAAAGGGAGCAAGTCAGCCAAAACAAACATTTCCACAACACTTCTCTCTGTACTCCACCAGAGTTGTTGGTTGCTGCTCCCCGGCCACTGGTAATATAATTAAGCTCCCCACTCTCAGTCTTTCCCCCGAAAAAAAAATCTCCTTAGCTATGAGGCTGAGGAGGAATCATTCAAGCATGCTTGAGCCTTCTTGCAGGCTTTCTGTTGTTGCTGTTGTTGTTATAGTAGTAGTAGTAGTTTGTCACTGCCTCTGAACCAAACCAGTGAATGCATGTACTGGGCTCTCTAGAGGTCTCAAGCTGAATTTTTGTTTCCTGGATTAAAATAATACACCAAACAATCAGCTGGAGTCACAGAACTCAATGAGTAGAGGAAATTCAGAGGCAGAGAGATCAAGCCAGATGCCATTGTTATATAAGTGATACTGGAAGCTATGGGATTTAATGAGGTACCTACGGACAATTACTAGAGCGAGGATGGAAGAAGTCCATGGACAGATCCAGGGACCCCAAGGGACAGAGAAAAAACAGAGGGTGAACTTCCCCCTACGGGAACAATGAACATACGATCAGACAGGAAGAAAATCAGCTGAGGAATTAATCAAGGAAACTTAGAGTGTGAAAGACGTCAACGGCTTTGAGCATTGTGAAAAGCTGTATAAAATATGCTAAATCATATATCAAAAGAGGAAGAGAGAGTATTAAAGGCAGCAGAGAGATTGAAGAAATGGAAACAGAGGCAATCTGGCAATAAGAGGATTATAGTCTCAGTAGTGAGAGGAGTGTGGAATCCAGAAGTCCAAGTGCAAACAGAGGGTTTCTTTTCTTTTGCTAACATCCTGATCATGTCCCATTAGAGTCAATGCAGTTAACACAGATGCTTCCAACAGCTGTACAAGGAATCACATTTTGTGGGAGTGGGCATTGTAGTCAGCAGCCTGCTGTTTTCAAGAAAAACTCTCCTGCGGATGAAATAAATCTGGACAAGTATGCCCTAAATTATGTCTCACATGATTGCTTCTTGCAAAGTCTCACTATTTGATTAAGCAAAGGCAACATTTCTCTTTTACAACCAAAAAATTCAGATCCAAAAGAGGCTCCAATAAATATAATATCCATCCAATAATGAACAACCATAGGCAAAATATAAATAGTCAAGAATTCAGTCCTAGCTTCTCAAGAACTCTACTCAAGGTTCTTATTATAAATGCAAAATATTCTAGGCATAAGGTTAAAGAAATGTAAAGATGACACAAATATAGCCCAGAAAATAAGGGGTTTTTTTTTGGGGGGGGGACAATAAGAGCTCTGCTGGATCAGACCAGTGGTCCATCTAGTCCAGCATCCTATCTCACAGTGGCCAACAAGCATCCTATCTCACAGTGGCCAAAATCTATGTGTGGAAATGAACTCTGTTTATCTTTCTGTAACTGCACCCAATGGGAGGGTGGAACCTCTCACTTCTCATAATTCATCAAGTGTAACAACTACCGCCTTCGAATTCCATCCACAAGGATCCACACCTGAATGACTTACAACAGGCTTGCCTCTGCTACAACTTTTCCTTCACTTCTATTTTAGTTATAAAATTTCCTGTTAAATAATCATCCATTTCATATGCATCAGAAGACGAGAGGTCCATTTATGGTGGAATAAATCTTCTGAAGTCTTTAAGGTGCCACTTGATTTCTGTTTCTCACAGGAATTGTGTACAGTTGAGTATAAGCAAATGTAAAGCAAGGTAAAAAGTAAAGGTAAAGGTTCCCTTGCTCGAAAGCCAGTCGAATCCGACTCTAGGGTTGCGGTGCTCATCTCCGTTTCAAAGCCGAAAAGCCAGCGCTGTCCGAAGACATTTCCGTGGTCATGTGGCCGGCATGACTAAACACCAAGGCGCACGGAACGCTGTTACCTTCCCACCGAAGTGGTCCCTATTTATCTACTTGCAATTTCTTGCTTTCGAACTGCTAGGTTGGCAGGAGCTGGAACTAGAGACAGGAGCTCACCCTGTCTTGCGGCACCCGGGTCTTGAACTGCTGAACTACTGACCTTCCACAGCCTGCAGTTCAGCGTCTTAACCACTTGAGCCACCGCAGCTCCTTAAAGCAAGGTATACTGGAGTAAATAATTCTAACCACACATGCAGTGTTGGGTGTCTCATTTAGAAGTGATCTCGGGGCCTTGATGCATAGCTGAATGGAAATATTTATTTATTTAATTATTCATTCATTCATTCATTCATTCATTTATTTGTTCAATTTATACTCCACCCTCCCCACCAAAGCAGGCTCAGGGTGGCTTACATAAAAAATAAAAACATACAAATAACAATTATAACACTCATAAAACCTTCTAAAACAATTCACTATCATAAAGTGCTAGCAAGATCTATATTGATAATATCGCTTGAAGATGGCGGTAACAGTCATATTGATATAATCTGTAGTCTCCTTGATCTTTTCATATATATGCAGCAGGCACAAGATGTAGTTGGTGGAACCAGGGAACAGAGCTTTATATCTTCCAGTTGTTGTTGGAGATGGCTCCCTAATTGAAAGCCTTGTGGAACAGCTCCGTCTTGCAGGCCCTGCAGAACTGTAAAAGGTCCCACAGGGCCCTGATCTCTTCTGGGAGCTCATTCCACCAGTATAGAGCTGCCACCGAAAAGGCCCTGGCCCTGGTTATGGCTAGTCTGGCGTCTTTGGGATCCCGGTGGGCCAGTTGATTTTGGGACCCTGAGCGCAGTGCTTGCTGCGGAACATATGGGGAAAGGCGGTCCCTCAGGTATGGTGGTCCCTGACCATAAAGGGCTTTAAAGGTGAGAACCAGCACCTTGAAGCAAATTCAGTATGCTATCGGCAGCCAGCGCAATGCCTTCAGCACAGGTTGGATGTGCTCCTGCACAGGAAGGCCCATCAAGAGCCTGGCAGCAGCATTTTGCATTAGCTGCAGCTTCCGGATTTGCGACAAGGGCAGCCCCATGTAGAGGGTGTTACAGTAGTCAAGGTGATCACTGCATGGATCACTGTTGCCAAGTCACTGCAGTCAAGGAAGGGAACCAACTGCTAATCAGCTGAAGGTGGTAAAAGGCTGACTTGGCAGTGGCTGCTACCTGGGCCTCCATTGTTAAGGAGACATCCAAGAGCACTCCCAAACGCCTAACTTCTGACGCTGGCACCAACAGCACCCCACTGAAGGTCAGGAGTAGGATCCCTGCCCTCAGGCAGCTGAAGCACAGGACCTCCATCTTCATTAGATTCAATTTCAGTCAGCTCAGTCTAAGCCATCCAGCTACAGTCCAGATCTTCCGGTTTAGAGTCAGACTGGCCACCCAACAAGCTGGGTGTCATCTGCATACTGGTGACATCCCAGCCCATGCCTCCAGGCAATCTGGGCAAGGGGGTGCATATAGTGTGTGGCAGCAGCAAAAAGGGCTTAATTTTATGCAAGACAGTATTAGGAAGTGGTCTGAAAGTATTATAATGCCTTGAAATATACATTCATTCTATGGTGTGGTTGCATTTTAACACTATGCACAATTTTCATCACTCCCGCTCAAAAAGGGTATCAGAGCTGGAAATGGTGCAAATGGGTCAGCCTTTATTTCTATGAAAAATGGGGGGAAATGGGGCTTTTTAGTTTATGACTAAAGGGAGGGGACATACTAAAAGTTTGTATTTATGGACAATATGGGCAAAGTGGATTTTTGTTCTCCCACTCCCCAAACAATAGAAGGGAGGGACATAGAAAGAAACTAATAAGCAGGAAATTTAGGACAGAGAAGAGAAATAACTTTTTCTCACACAACACACAATTCATTTATTCCAGCCAGGTTTGTCAAGTCTGTAGCAACAAAACAAAAAGGAGCTTCATGGCACTGAAAGGGCAGCAACAGATTTATAATAGCTGAAACTTTTGTGACTTAAGAGCCCACTTCATCAAACCCATGAAGTGGATCCTCAGTTGGCAGATACGTACAATCATACATGGGCCTGAAAAGGGAAATGTATTGAAATGCCAACAGTGTGCTCAAAAGGGTAATGTACTGGAATGATGAGAATGACTGCTGGGGACAATGGGAGATGCCTGAAGGTTCATTGGAAATCATAGGTGCCACAAATGCCAGTTCACTTGTATGGGCTTCACTGAAATACATTAACCTATGGAAAATTCACAATGAATATATGGAATGGTTTTGGAGAAACCTGCTCTGGGCCTGGAATGACAGCCCCCAGATTGGAATGATGGTCCCTGGGACAACTTAAACTGCTCTGGGAATGGAATGTCAGCCCCCAAAATGGAATGGTAGTCCCTCAAAGTAGCATGAGTCCTCTGGGACTGGAATGACAGCCCACTGAATGGAATGACAGTCCCCAGGACAATATAAACTGCTCTGGGAATGGAATGAGGCCCACAAAGTAGAATGATGGTCCTTGGAACTGAAATCTGTACTCTACAGCTAGAATAAAAACCACTATATTTTTAAAACATTTTTTTAAAAAATATGCTGCCTTTCTGTTCAGTCAGGGTTCACAAGGCAGCAAGCATAAAATAATTAAAATGTTTAACAATTAAAAATAGAGTTGACCTGTTGCTATAACTATTTTAATGTATAAACATGGAAAAACCCAATTAAAATAGAGTTAAAGCTATAAAGTTCAATTAAAAACATATAAAGAACACTAGAAGGAGGACCAATGACTATTACTGGGGATATGCCAGATGAAACAAAAAAGTCTTCACCTGCTGGAGAAACACACCGATAGAGGGAGACAGATGAATCTCCCTGAGGAAGGACTTCCAAAGGGTTTGGTGCCACAACAGAGAAGGCCCTTTCTTGGGTTGTCACACATCCAGCCTCACATGGTGGAGACAACCAAAAGAGGGCCTCTACAATGACCGAAGTGAACGGGTAGGCTCACATGGGAGAAGGTGATCCTTCAAGTATCCTTGCCCCAGACCATACAGGGCTTTAAAGGTCAATACCAGCACCGTGAATTGAGCCTGGAAGCAAACTGGAAGCCAGTGTAGGTAGAACAAGACTGGAGTGATATGTTCCCTCCCTATTACTCCTCCAGTCCAATTCCCAATTCCAATAACCTTTATTGGCATAACTACCTCTCTAGTCAACACTCAGACTGCAGCATTCTGTACAACTGTAGCTTCCATACAGTCTTCAAGGGCAGCCCAATGTACTGCATACAGAAGTAATCTAATCTAGATGTTACCAGGGAACACCACAGCGGCAAAATCTTTTCTGCCCGGGAAGGGCCACAGCTGGATCACCAGCCAAAGCGGCTGAAAGACACTCTTGGCCACCATGCCCACCTGTTTATTGAACAGGAGGCCTGGGTCCAGAAGTACCCCCAAAATATGAACCTCCTCCTTTGGGGGAGTGCGACCCCATCCAGAACAGGGAATGACTCATTTCCTGGGCCAGACCTTCCCCCTACCAATAGCACCTATGTTTTGTCAGGATTAAGTTTCAGCTTGTTAGTCCTCATCCATTCCAAATATGTCTTCAGGCACCTATTTACAGTTTCCACAGCCTCCCTGAGATCTACTGGTAAGAACATTAAAAAAGCCCTGCTGGATGAGACCAGTGGTCCATCTAATCCAGCAATATGTCTCACACAGTGACCATATTACATACAGAAATACTTCAACAGTATTTATATTGGTTGCACTGTTGCAGTATTTCTGTATGTAATACGATTGCCATACTGCTACCCCTCTGTGTCTGTTAACTGTCACACAGTGACCAACCAGTTCTTCTGGAGGTCCAACAACAGGGCATTGAGGCCAAAGCCTTCCCCTGATGTTGCGTCCTGGCACTGGATTCAAAGGTTTACTGCCTCTGAATGTGGAGGCATTCTTCATTTGAAAAATTGATGTAACATTTGCTACTCTCTGGTCTTCTGCTACAGTGGCTGATTTTAGTGACAAGTTACACATACTGGTTAGTGTATCAACAATCTCTTATTTGAGTTCCCTAAGGGCTTCTAACATCAGGAATTAATACTGACTAGTTTTTCATTTCTTCAGGCTCCCTTCCTGAAAAAACTGGCTTTGAACTGGCTACATGTCCACAGTGAACATAGATGCAAAGAATTCTAAAGAAAGCAATGAAAGAATGCCTGGGAAAGATGTCTTGACCCTGTATGTTGATGGAGGAGATGGAAAGCAACCTACTGGAAAGCCACTTACTTCAAATTCAGCCTTTGCAAAACAGGGAGTATTTCTCTATTCCAGAAGATTTACATGTGTATCTACTGCATCTCCCAGCTTACTCCTGTGTGCCAGTTCTGTTCCTCAGGCTGGTACCCTGACCTAGGATGGTCCATCAGGCAACAGTTTGGTCATGGACATATTCTATTTGTGGCTGCAGGGGGCACCTCCACACTTGCTGCATTCAGGAAGGTGTGCAAGATTGTTCCATTCTTGAGGGCACCTGGTGGAGGCTAAACTCTGTGTATGGGCTTTAAATTCTGTGTTTTAATTCTGTATTGCGTTTAACTTGTTGAACACTTGTGATGTGTGCATCCTGCCGTTTCCGCTATTTTATTAGTCCCTTGAAGTTGTGGTGATAAGGCATGGTATAAATATGTTTAAAACTTTATTCTGTGATGTAGTTCAGACAGTGTGAATACCCTTCGGCAGCTACTGGCCACTCTATGGGAAAGGTTGCCATTCCAAGGTGGAAAAGAGGGAGCTGACTGGCCAAATCCATATCTGGTTAGCTTCAGCTGAAGCACAAGGTGTTCCCAGACTACCTGTTTCGCCCTAAAGTTGATTTCTAAAAAGAGGAATCAGGACTATGTCTGCAGGGAGGTAATCAACTCAGACTTGATCTCAGGCCCACAGAAGCTAGTCAACAGTGAAGAAAAGCTGCTTTGCACATGCTCAGGAGGATGCTTTTATGAAGAGACTAGGGCTGTAGTTTGTGGTACTGTTTAATGTACATATTACCTTGCTCTTGCTGTATTGCTTTCTAATTTCTGTAATCCATTTTTTTGTATTTCTTGTATGTCGTGTCCAACATTTTAATCTAATCTTATCGCACTGTTTATGGTATGTCTTATACTATGTCTACTGCATCATCATCATCATCATTATTTCATTTATAGTCCACCTTTCTCACTAGGATCAATGTAGATTACAAGTATAATAAAAATCTTTCAGTCAGTCAGTAAACAGATCATAATATATGATAACATTTTAATCTAACAACAAAGCTGCCTAGTAAGACAGAATAATATAGTTGGGATGGGATTGTAAAATGGAAAAGAAAGCAAGAACACTCCATGCTAACCTATCAGTATAGGACAATCAGCCTAGACAATCAATGTAGGAAAAACATTTCCACCAATCCTGAGCTGATCTATTATACCACAGCTTTTCTCTCTCTACAAGAACAGCCCAGGGATGGGCCATAGCTCAGTGCTGGAGCATCTGCTTGGCCTGCAGAAAGTCCCATGGTCAATCCCCAGCATCCCTAGTTAAAAGCCTCAGGCAGTAATCCACCTTGAGTCTCAGTTAGAAAGCCATAGTACAAATAAATAAAAAAATAAATGTGCAGGGGCATATCTCGCCTGCCAGGCAAGATACAGCTCAAATTCATTCTGTAGAAATCCTATTCTTGTGAATGCTCAGCATATTCTCTTCTGATCCACCGCTATGCACCAGATGAGGGGCAAAATATAAAGCTTACCAGACAACTACAACTCTAGATTCTATGTGCCATTCCTCTCAGGAAATGACTGGATAAAACTCCTATAACAATGTCAAATAATATGAAAGCATGCAATAAATGTCATAGTTATGCCGTATCAAGTACTTTCACAGTAGAGTTTATACTTACATGAATGAAGATCTCATAGTCTATATATGAATGCCAACTGTCTTCCTTTTGAATCCTGGGGTCTCGTACCAAGACTGTTACAAATTCCTGCGAGCGCATAATAAAGGGATTAAAGTGAAGATAAGGATCCTTCTTGAAAAGACAGCTTGTCAAGGACACAAGCACAACTGTTACTGTTAGTCAAAACTGCAAGCTTTAAGAGTAACTTAAAACAAAAAACACAACCAAAAACACAATGAGTCATTGTAACTACAGAACATATCCGGGAAACTTCTTGTCAACTAGCCAAAGGGGAATTTTGAAATTAGATAATTCTGTACACTTCCTAGTAGCCAGGGCATGCTCAGAAGAGAAGGTCTCAGTCATTTGCAACCAGCACCAGTTAAATAAGATAAAAATGAATGAAGCTACTGATAGCTATGTATCAGTAGACGTGAAGCCCTGCTCTGTATTAACAAAACATTATTTTCACTTTTAAGCAAAACCAAGCTGTAAAACCTTCCCCTGAATTCTGGCTGTGTTGGTTGATAGAAAAAAATATCCAAAAGTGGCAGTAAAAAAACAATTATATGAAGATCAAACCAAAACAACAAAGTAGTTACTATCAAGGGTGGATAGTAACCAAAGCCCAAAAGATGTGGGAGAAGAGAGAAAATGATATGGTTGGACATAAAACGAGCCCAGAGAATGTGGGGCAACTGTATGGCTCCAGCATTACAGTAGAAGAAATATCATCATCATCATCATCCATTATTATAATTATAGCAATATTAATTTTCAGAAGCTCTACAGTACTTGGTTTACTTGTTCTCATTGCATCGCTGAGAAGCAGAATATTGCTATCACCATTCTCACAGAGGGAGAATTGATGTAGAGACCAAGTGACTTCTCCATGACCATGACATGTCCATAGCAGATATGAGTTGTGGACAGTGTTCCCTCTAAGATGAGTTAGTGTGAGCCAGCTCACAGGTTTTTAGCCTTGAGCTCAAGAATGTTTGTCTTAGCTCAGGAAGGATGGCTCCAAAGCAAACTAATTTATGCAGGAGCCAAATCACTCACTCACAACTTTAATGCCAGTAGCTCACAAAGCAGAATTTTTGCTCAGAGGACTCCTCAGCTTAGAAGGAGTGTTAGTTGTGGAACAGTGGCTGAGCACATGCCTCATTGATTCCCCACTCCTCCACATGCAGCTGCTGGTGTGACTTTGGGTTCTTGCAGAGCTGTTCTCTCAAGGGCAGTTCTCGGGAGAGCTCTCTCAGACCCACCTACCTCACAGGGTGTCTGTTGTGGGGAGGGGAAGGGGAAGGGATTGTAAGGTGCTTTGAGACTCCTTCGGGTAGTGAAGAGCGGAATATAAATCCAATCTCTTCTTCTTCTCATGTACCCAGGTCCCAGGTTCAATCCTGGCTACTTCCAGTTAAAGGGTTTCAGATAGGAGATGATGGAAAAAACCCTTCTCTGTCTGAGGCCCTGAAGAACAGCTGTCAGTCAAAATAACAACAATGTGGGATAGAGAAACAGTCTGCATCGGGGTTGGTCATTTCATATGTGGGTTTAGCACACAGTTCTCCCAAATCCAAGCCTGACTCTAGCTATTGGACTATCCTCGCTACCACAACATGTTCCCATATCCTGCTGCTGTTGAAAGGCACCATCATCCAATAAAGCACTGACACAGAAAAATCGTTTTAATGAAATACCGTTCCCATATTGGTCTCCTGGTAATACTGAGTTTATGGTGTGTGTGCTATCACCATTCTCTATCACCAGTATGATCAGGAGACAGGGAGGCAGAGTGAACAACATGTTTTGCCTCCACCCAAAGCAATGACAATCTGTCACTGTCAACACAGCTATCATGAATGAACAGACCAGAGCTAGGAAAAGAAGGTGCCACTTCTCCTGAGACAACCATTCTGTCTCAACTTCAAGCATAACTTACACCCTTCCTAGGAGTGAATACATGACATATACGCCATACTATAGACCAAAAAAAGTTGATGGGTGTTTCAACAGTGCTGTAGCAAGATTCCTATACACTCCTGTTTGTCTGGGCTACAAAATATAGGAAATCACAGCAGAAAACACATAATCTTAATGTGACAAAAGTCCCATGGGACTTTTTACTTCCCCTTGTAATCTAAAGAAATGTTGTCATGCATTTTCCTTCTTTGAAAATGGACTGTTTGGATTTTCCTGAAGGTTGGCCATTTCCTCATTTCTTTATTTTCTCTAGTTTACTGCTCCTTCGTCCTTAGACTACATTCATGCCCCTATATTCAGTATTCATATGCACCTCTTCTATGCCAAATGCAACTTACTTGCAGTCCTGTTTGTTTATACCATTAACTCACCAGGCAGCATCCAAAATTCAGTACCTCCTTTCTCACAAAAGAAAGATATCAGTTCTTCCAGTCCCTTATTTTGCATCAGAAATAACCACAACTGGAGACTGGACTGGTAATAAAGAGCTAAGAAACTCTCTCTTTGGAGTAGCAGCAAAAAAATAAAAAAAATGCAGCAGCCATTTTGGAGATTAGGCGATTTATTGTGGGATCAGCTTTAATAAGCAACAGCCTTGTTCACCAGATAAAGAGAGGTATTGTTTATAAAATCCCAGGCCTCAATAAGGCTGCAAATGCTGAGATTACACACAAAAACTGAATATAGTACAGGGAAAATCAAATGCAAGTTTCTAGATCATGTGAGTGTGAACATAATCTTCAAGTGTGTGATTGTATCTGGTGAAATCTCAGAAACTTTAAGGGGAAACTCCCTTGGCAGAATATTCAATGGAAATGGTGTTCACATAGCTCTTTGGCCCTCAAAGCAGCAGAAACAGAAAGAATCATGCCAAACAAATAGAAGCTTATTCTGAATTACTGACATAGGTTATAAAATTTGAGTTAACTAGTCCAGAGTTGATTTTCTTAATGGTCAAGATCTTCACAGGACTAATAAAAGTCAAGGTGTTGGAAATGGTTATTCCTCAAATATTATTATTTTGGGTAGAAAGGGGTATGCGTGTGTGAGTAAATGTACAGAACAGAACTATGAGTCCTTCTTGCCAGTCACTTAAAGGACATTCTTTTCTGCTGCTTCACAAACATGGCACCTTTGAAGTTACAGATTCACATACTTTGGCTTCCCAACATTGCAACAACCATTTTAGCAATATTGGTAAAGCTGTGAAAACATGGAAGGAGTCTGTTGCCAACTAGGCCACAAAAACTGAGCACATCCGCAGCTTTTTTGTGACTCCCAAGAAGCTATGCTTTGCAACAAGAACTCAAGAAAATGCAAGACATGTTCATTGATTTGTTTCTGTGATGCTCTCTCTTGTCAACACAACAGCCTTGGCAACACATGGTGATGACATTTATTACTATATTGCATTGCTTAAATAAATAAAAAAATCCGAACAAATTGCACAAGGAAAAAGACTGTCCTTGCAGTGATTAAACATTAAACAAGCCCAAACAGTAAAGGAAACTACAGATAAAGAACTCACATTCTACAGATTCGTGAGCTACAGATAGGTTCTGAGCAGTTAAAAAAAATGATCAGCAATTCTTAAGAAAAGCCTTGCCCTTGCCCTTCTCCACAAATCAAACTGTAGCAGACCAAATGCTAGATGTGGATTGAGTAGACTTGGCTACAAATCTTCGATCGGCTAAAATGTAGGGATGTGCCAGCCTCTAGGTGGGACCTGGGGACCCCCTGGAATTACAGCTCATCTCCAGACTACAGAGATCAGTTCCCCTGGAGAAAATGGATGCTTTGGAGGGTGGACTCTATGGCATTGTACCCCACTGAGGTCCCTGTCTCCCCCAGGCTCTGCCTCCAACTCTCCAGGAGTTTCCCAAAATTCCTCTCTGGTCACTGGGGGGGGGGGGAGGAACAGGGGATTGCTCAGGTTTCCTTGTGATTTTGTGGCAGACAAAAGGTGAACTGGAGATTTCCCAGCTTACAACAGAAGAAAAAGAAGAAGAGATTGGATTTATACCCCACCCTTCACTTGGAGTCTCAGAGCAGCTTACAAACTCCTTTCCCTTCCCCTCCCCACAACAGACACCCTGTGAGGTACCCCACCCTTCACTTGGAGTCTCAGAGCAGCTTACAAACTCCTTTCCCTTCCCCTCCCCACAACAGACACCCTGTGAGGTACGTGGGGCTAAGAAAGCTCTGACAGAAACTGCTCTTTTCAAGAACACCTCTGACAGAACTATGGCTTGCCCAAGGTCATCCAGTAGCTGTGAGTAGAGGAGTGGGGAATCAAACCCGGTTCTCCCAGATTTGAGTCAGCACACTTAACCACTTCACCAAACTGGCACATGCCCCTAGCCACAATGCTATAGCTGCTCTTAAAATAAGGTGCACTTAAGGATCAAACAGATACCTGCAGATGCACACTTTCCTTCCCCTTTCTTAGCTAGATACTGGGATAGAGTACATGTGTTACATGCAACCAGAGTTTGGGTTTGTTTTCTCTCTCTCTCTTTTTAACGAAAGACCTTTGGAACTTGAATCTGAAGGAGCAGGCTCTGGCCCATGAAAGCTGATACCACAGCACACATTAGTCTTTTAAGAACCAAGACTCTTGTGCCATCTAAAAGAAACTCAAGGCCAGCAGCATCTTAAAGACCAACAAAATCTTCCAGGGTATAAGCTTTCATGAGTCAATGCTAATTTCATCACATATGTGTCTGCCAAAGTGAGCTTTGACCCATGAAATCTTATAGCCTGGAAAATTCTTTTGGTCTTTAAGGTGTTACTGAACTCAAATTTTGTTCTACTACTAGAGACTCATTGGTATTCACCTGGAACTATCCTAAAGACTAATATGTATACAGTGGCGTTAACTTTCATGAAGGGTAGAGTTCCTCCTAACATGCATTCATGCTGATTTCCTTAAGGAAGCTGATAGACTGGGCAGTCAGTTGGCGGCTCGGGGTTACCTTTTAGAACTTATTGATAGAGCCCGCACCTGAGCTGAACAGACAAGTCGGGCCGAATTATTTAAGGATACTGTGACTGAGAAAGACACCAAGATATGTTGGGCTTTTGACTTTACTCCAAAGGCG